AAAAAATGCAAAAAAAATGCAAAAAAATGCAAAAAAAAACACAATGTTTTTGCAATTTTCTAGGTTTCCAAGACCCACGCGTCTTGGGCCTCCCAAATCCATGCATTTTCTTTGCATTTTTTTGCATTCTGGTTTTGCATTTTTTTTGCATTCTTTTTGCCTCCGTTTTGCGCCTGCGCAGGCGTGCGCCGGCGAGGGCCTCGCAGAGCCTCCCGTCGCCCTAGCCTCGAGCCCAGCCCCAGCCTGCCGTGACCCCGTGACCTCACCTGACCTTACCAGACCAGAAGCTCCAGACCGTTTACATAATAGTAGCCACCTCTACAGCCCTGGCGACGCCCCAGCAAAAAATCCCATGAATCCAATGCATCGTCTAAATTTTAATTTTTACCTCAAGCTGACTCAAGCTACTCGGCTCCCACTGCTGCTGTCCTTGCTTGTGGCCTTCAACTGCGCAAGATGCTCCAGGTAGACGGGGCTTTGCTCAGGCAGCATCAGATCTCGCAGCTTCACTGGAGTCTGCTCACTCGTCACGCGCTGCAGCAAGGCCTGGCTGGCCACGTTGACAGTGCACACCCATCACAATCACTGTCACCATTACAGCGTTGCTACAGTACGGGCGTGTCACAAGCAGGCTGTCAAGCTAATGGCATCATGACTTGATGGGCTTGCAAGCCTCCAACTGCCGAGTTGTGCTGCATCATGCCCAGTACACTGGCCCTGAATATAACTGTAACCCGCATACCCAACATACCCTAGCCTAGCATACCCCTTCCGCCCTACCACTACCGCGTACCAGGATTGCCCTGCATCCCAGGTTCTTGCTTGTGAATCCTTGTCAGTAGCTGCTCGGCTTTGCCGCCATGTCGAAGAGAATGCTTCATGGAAACTTTCCCATTATGCCATATGCTCCGCAACACAAAGCCAGTAGTCAGCAAAATCAGCAACAACAACAACAACAACAACAGCAACAACAACAACAACAACAACAACAACAAACGTAGCAGCACGGTAGCAGTAGCAGCAGCAGGAGCAGCAGCAGCAGCAGCAGCAACATCAACAAGAGGAACAAGCACAGACGTTCAGCATCCTATTGCAGCAGCCCAGACTTAGGTCTTAGGTGCAACACAGCCTCTTTGGACACAAGCACAGAGCCCCGGCTACCACTTGATTTTAGGAACCCATCCCCTGCTTTGCGCACGGTACAGAACCCCAACCTCTATCCTACAGTCCTACAATCGGCCAAATTTAAGATTCCACAAGTGCTTCCGGCTACTTGCACTTGCCTCCAATGTCTCTTTGAAGGCCTTCACCATGGATTTCTCGTAGACATCCTTGCGGAAGAAGATCAAGAAAAACCTGCGGGCAAGGAAGATCACTGCAACGCTAAAATAATAATGTTTGCTGCGTGCAGGATTCACATCTGACAGGAAACTGAGGCCTAGCTGAGCATAGCTGAAACAAGATGGATTCGACTCACTATGGAACTATGGAGTACGGAGTTTTTAGCATAGCATGGGCATGGGCGTGCTATGCACATTTGTGGACTGGAACAGTCAGCAAAAAAAAGCAGCTGCATTTTTCCATGGAAGCGCTCCAACTTGACTCTACAAGACGTCCACGCACTGCCCTCTAGAGTCTTGATTCACCGAATGTGCTCAGGCTCAGCAGGTTCCCCTGCTCGCTGCCTTCTCTCTACCTTTTCTGCAAACTCACGGCCTTTGGGGAGGTTCTCGAAATATGTCCTTGCTGCTTGCCGCACCTCCCACGTGGCAGAGCTGCTATGAATATGCCTCTGTGCATCTGGAAGACCCTCATGATTCTGCTGCTGCAACCAGCTGACAAGTCTGCCCAAAGGTCTTCCCTGGCCTCTGAACTTGTTTGTTGTGAACTCGCTTGCATAAGTCACCCTGCCAATGCGGCAGTCATGGTGCCCTGGCCGCATACACACAGCCACTAGCTTTTGGCTGCGAGCATAGTAGCGCAAGCACCCTAAACCTTCCAGCTGGAATTCCTCACTCGCATCAGGATCTCTGTGAAAAGCTGCTCGGACTCTAACTCTAGCTGCGTCTGTGTCAGCAGGCGCTGCTGCTGCAGGACCCGGCGCCTCTGCTTGCACCTCCTCCTGAACCCCTGCGTCATTGCCACGGTTGTCTGGCAACGGGCCTGGCTCCAAAGGCCCTGGCATTGCTGTCTCAGCCGGCAAGAGCAGCTCTGAGACATCATGCCAAGGATCTTCATCTTCATCGTCTGCACCCAAAAGAAGCCCCGAAACACCTGCATCTGCTGATTGCTCAGCAAGCGCATCCACACTGTCCATTTCCTCCTCTGGGTCATCCGACTCCGCAGCCTCATCTGCATAAAGGGCGCTGGAAATCAGCGCAGCGTCTGCGTTCTCACCTCTGTCAAGATGACCTGGAGCACTGGCCTGTCTGTCAGCCAGGCTCGCTGATGCTGAGTGAGCGGAAGACCGAGGCCGCGGCTTAGGTGGTGTAGATGCTCGTCGGCGAGCTGCTGGGCCTCCTTCGTCGCCTCCTCTCCAAACAGTGAATGCACCAACTTCAGGCACGGCGCACACAGGTACAGCTTCAGGCCAATGTTCGTGGTTGAGCCAGTCTGTGTCATTTTCAGAGATCTCATAGAGCTGCACACCCCACTGCTTGCCCAGATCCAGGAAAGTCTGAATGAATTGCAAGTCTGAGAACACATCCAATGTTTGGTTGCACAGAGCTGGTGTCTGCACACGCAGCTGCAGCACGCCAGGGCGCAGGAAGGGTGAGCAGAAATCCAAGTCAGAAGCCCTGTGCAAGAGTTGGCATGCGAAATGCCAAGTGGAGAAGTTAATGTAGCCGACATGCACAAAAATCAAAGCTGCAGGAGACTCTGCGCAGATTTCCTGAAACGCAAGCACAAGCCGACGCTGCTCTAGCAGGACTCGTCTTGGACTGCTGCGCTTCTCCACTTTCGGGCATAACTCTTTCAGCCTACGGCACAACCTGTCGCAAAGCTGCCATGATCGCGGCCCCTTGCTAGGATTGTTTCGGCTGCAAACACAGACACCTGCCTGCTGGCACGCATTCTTGCGATGAGCTCGAACTGTCTTCTCCTCTATCTTTGGTTGCTCGGCATGAATGCGCAGGCTGCACTTCTTAGTCCATTCTTCTGCCAGCTTCTTATTGGTCGCCATAGATCTGCGTGCATCCACATTGCTCTTGCCAAGAGCCACCTGGCAGGGCAACAGTGCTAACCACTAGTAACTTGTACCTAGGCGCTGGCTTCCGGCCACATATCTGCACCAACATGTTGGCACGTTGCGCTCTCACAGTTGTCACAAACTGCATGACACAACTACACTGGACTACACGACACTGCACACAACTCTGCCACAAGACTCTGCTTGCTGGTAGAAAGTAACCGCTTACAGCTCACTTGCTAGAGTCTGCAAGAGTTGCTGCTGCTCCCGCTGCTGCTGCTGCTGCTGTGGCAGCGGCGGCGGTGCTCAAAGAATGAAAACGTCACTGGTAACAAACCCACAACGCCCACACACCATGTTCTGTTGATTCTGTTGTTGGGGGCACACAGTCTTGCGTCTTGCACATGCAGCACTTATTGCGAAAACACAATCTGCATGAATCTGGGCTGAGAAGATTGGCGCATGCTGTGCGCCCCATGTGACAATTTAAAATGCGTGTGGGGTTACACACACCACATCAACCAGAAAAAAGACTCCCGCACACTGGCACACTAGCACAGTTACTGACTGGCACAATTAGTACACTGGTACTGGCACAGGCGCAAATACCTGGGTTGCTGTGCGATTCTGCTGCTGCTGTTGCTGCTGCTGCCTGCTACCATGTTTTGCCCAAATTCTGTCCTGCGCATGCTGGACTCTTGCTGAACATTGTCCCCCCTAGGTGAAAGTTCCCGGCACCCAGTCATGGAAGTGATGTAAATGTAAACGGCACACTGCAGACCGTGCTGCGAACTCAGAAAAATGTTGCCTCCCTGCACCTCTCGCTTCATCGAGCAATTGCGCCTAGATCCTATGTGTGCAGATCCTACGTGCTACCTGTACCTGCTACGCCGCTGCTACACATGTTGTTGCCTCTGCACACCAGAAGCCAACATGGTTCAAGCAGAAGCCAAAGGTTTTGAAGCAACATTGTAGTTGGCCCAGAGACAGCTACTTAGCTACTTGGACCGCCCTTGCACCTTGTGCATCACAACAGCATTGCACATGCGGCAGGACGTGCTGACATGCTCAAGCAAACAAACTCGAAGCAAGCGGTGACAGGACGGACTGCTGCTGCCACAGTGCTGCTGCTGCCAGTGGTACAGATGCTACTGATACTGCTGCCTGCTGCCGCTACGTACTATGGCTATGGTTACTATGGCTATGTATACCACTCTACCAACGACAGCAACAACAACAACTACTACTACTACTACTACTACTACTACTACCACAACCATAACCATCACAACAACCACAACAACGACGACGACGACGACGACAACGACGACGACTACTACTACTACTACTGTTACTACTGCTACTATACTAGTAGTACTACTGACTACTGCTACTGCTGCTGCTACTACTACTACTTCTTCTTCTACTTTCTACTCTTACAACAACAACAGCAACAACAATAACTATGACTACTACTACTACTACTACTACGAGTACCACTACGACTACAACAACAACAACAACAACAACAATAACTATGACTACTACTACTACTACTAAACTACTACTAGTACTACTAGTACTACTAGTACTACTACTACTACTACTGAGTTACTACTGCTATGCTATGACAAGGACAACGGCTGCTGCGACGATGACTCTGCTGCTACTACTGCTGCCACAGAAAACAACATGCACCAATGTCCTTCTGGTACCATGAAGGAAATCCAATTCAACCCAGTGGCCCTAGCCCTAGTGACCCTGGCGGCTTCCTAGTACTACTTACTACTGCCTAGTGATGCCTGAGCTGTTAGCTGAGACCCTGCAGGATACAGGCCTCCACCAAAGCTGCTGTGGGAGGGAGCCAGCTGAAACCAGTCATGTTGATGCCTGCTGAAGCTGTAGAATCTTTTGCAAAAACATCGCGGGCCAGCCCTGTAGCAAGCTCGGAGTGCGGCTGCAGCGCTGTGAGCATGTCAATATTTTGAGGGACCTCCTGCTGAAAACTCAGCAGCTCCTGTCCCTCCTGCTTGGTTAGAGCATCAGTGCCCAATGCACGATTCAGCTGCAGCGCATATTCCTCCAGCGCGTCCTCAAATGTGGGGCCAGTGTAAGGCGCAACTTGCCACTCACGCTCTGTGTCAAGTGCAACCAGTGCCCCAGTTTCTGTCACGGTGCCTGGCAATGCTCGTGGCGGCACAATGCCTTTTGGCCTTCGATCCCGTGGGCCGAAGGAAGGGAAACCGGCCTTGTGGGCAACAGTTCCAGCTGCGCCTGCCTCCTGGTAGTGCGCCCTCTCTGCGTCGGAGAGTGCCCGGTATTGCTCACCTAGGCTGCGAAAGTCCTTGATCTGGCTCCCAGAGCTCACGTCAGCCACAAATGCTCTCCAAGCACCGCCGCCGCCCCGCCGAGCTTTTGCTGGTGCACCGTCACTTGCACTTGCTTGGCGCTCTGTCTGAGATGGTGCATTGGCATAGCGCTGTGTCACAAACTTGGAACCAACAGCTTCTAAGTTTGGCACCCAGCCTCTCGACCTTAGCGTCGTGAATTCACGTGTGGATGCGTGCCGTGATTCAATGGCGCTGATGTCCACTGCATATACTGCAGCTAAAGCCAGCAAAACAGCTTGGCAATCTGTTTGCAAGAGCTCCTGGTCTTCAGGAAACTTGCTCCGCAGTAAGGTGTAGAGCTGGTCCCACATGCAGCGCGGAGTGGAGCAGAGCTTGTTCTGAGCATCCACACGGGCCTGCTCCTCAGGTGCCAGGAGTGCAAAAACACTGTAGGGCGGATTTGTGCGAGGCGTGCGTATCAGAACGTGCATCGCTGTCAGCGCAGCAGAGCTCAGGCGGAAGCGCAAAGATGCTAATGCTGCACCAACCTCACTGAAAGGGATAGCTTGCATAGGTCTCTGCACCAGGTTTTTCAGACGAGTCATGGCATCTGCCACCGGCCTCCCAAGAGCAGCTTCCACCACCAGGAACTTGCGTGTTTGCCCCCGCGCAGCCTTCAACATTTGCTTCTCTTCCCAACGCTTGCTGCCAACATAAAGGAAATGCGCCATGAGTCCCAACATAATAGCCAGCAACTCTTTCAGCAACAGCAGCCGACGCCCAGGGTTTGCGCCATACCATGTCTGCACGTCCAGCTTCTTTCTGCGGTTGAATTCCGCCCAATAGTCTCCGTTTTGTTCCACAGCCCCTGCCTCCACTTGCTGCTCGCCTTCGGGCGCTGCTGGCTGCCCTTGTGGCCCTTGCAACAGCTGCGCATCAACAAAAGCCTCTGCGTCCATAGCATCTAGCCATCCCCGGCCAGGTCTCTCGTCTGGCGCCTGTCCTGCAGTAGTAGGACCAAGCCTGGGTGGGCCCACGAATTTGTTCATCAGTTGCGAGAACAAGCCGTGGTGGGCCTCCAACAGCGCGATTGCATCCACAGCCAAGTCATACCCCACCCATGATTTCCGGGAGTACACGGGTATTCGGGCAGGGATCAAAGCCCACACTACATAAGTTCGAAAGAGCGCCCGTGTAGCTGCCTCAGATCGGCAGCAACCGTAACAGCAGTGGTGACGGATTCGTGGGCTGGCAAGGTCCCCATTCCTCAGCTGCTGTGAGCATGGTACTTGGCCAGTGACATGAGCTGCTCATTGGCTAGCAGCTAGCTGCCGTCTGCAGGTAGAGTACACTCCTAATTGAGAAAAAAAATAGAGGGCACTGGCGATCACTGATACACTGTGGCGCAGGAATAACCACACCTCCAGCTACAGCAGCTACTCAGTATACCTACCGGTATACACAAGGCGGCAGCCGATACCTTTCCAGCAAGAAGACTGTGTGTTGCAGCAGGGCAGAGCAGCACTGTTCATAATCGTGGCTGGGTTGCTCACCACCAGAAGCTCTAATGCTTTGCACTGTCACAGCCCTAACCGCCAACAGACGTGTCATGATCAATGCGCGGACACGCTGGCTACTCTGACTACTACACAAAACTGAGTATGGCTGCCCATAAATCACTCAGTACACAATTTGTGTTTAATCTTCATCGTGGGCCTACTCAGTCCTAGATTTCTAGTCTACAGACTTACTTGCTGCTGGAATCCCAAACCCCCACACCGATCATTGCAACACAAAACAAGCAAAGCTCGTGAAGGCTCGAAGGCTTAGGGCGTGGGAATCATGACCCAGTACTTAAACATCATAGCCGCTGCAGACACAGCCCAGACAAACAGCCAAACCTCTCGGTAATGTCTGGGTCCACAGGCGCAATAAAACGCATTGCCGCAGGAACAGGCCCCCAGAATTATTCAGCAGGCTACTCAGCTATAGCTACCACTACACTTATGGTCACTTGCGGAGCTACTGGACATCCAACCAACAACAGAAAAGTGTTGTTCATGGGATTGAAACCAAGAATCAAGAACCTGCGAAGTATGAACTTTCTCAAGCAGTTCTGTTTGCGCTGTGCACGGGAAGGAGCATCTGACGGCAGAAGAAGGTCGAGCATTGCTGAAGCATGCTCTGCCACTGGTCCAGTTGGGGGGGCACCAAACTCGACTTCCAGATCTTGCTCCAAGATCTGTGCAAGGATCTCCCGTAGCCTGCGTGTGGTACCAAGTGAGCCACACGCCAGTCCTGTGTTCAGGACGCCGGACACATCCTCCGACATCAGCATCGTTGCGTTGCCAGTGGCAGTGGACAGGCGATGCACGTCACATGCCACATGGCAGAATGGGAACTCTGGAAGAAAGCCCTCCTCAGTAAGTCCTGCCTCTGCACGGCCGTTCGCACCAAAGCGGTCAGTGATGGACACCCGCAACTTCATCTCGAAGGGAGACCAGACACGACGCATTTCAGGCGCGGCTTCCACCACATCCATGATGCAGCGGCGGGTGTTCTCCCCTGTGCAGCGGCCGACTGCCATCAGCCATGTCGGCAGCTCTCCCCAAACCCAAAAGTATTGCCCAGACAAGTAATCCTTGAAAAGCATGCCAGTGCAATACTCGGACTGTATGATCTTGGACTGTGTAGACATTTCCACCAGATCGCCGCCATGCAGCGGCTGATTGCCACCTGAGCGTTTCCGTGCTTCCTGCAGGGTTGCGAGAACCTCAGCATTGGTGGCTAATTCGCCACGAGCAGCTTCTGCACGGCTTGGCTGGTTCGGCAGCACCACAGTACCATGCTGCTCGCCCGTGACCACGCGAACTTTGGAAGGTGTCTCATCATAGCGCAATCTCATGACGTATAGCATGGGCCTTAGACGAGGCCTAGAACCAGGCGCCTGTATTTCAGAATCGTAGAGTGGCTGCAGGGATGTGCACATGGCAGACCACAGCCAACTGCCTAGCTCCACAACTGCAGCCCCCGCTGAACGAGCCTTTGACGCCACAACGCTCGCAGATTCAGAGAATATGTTTGACAAAGCCTTCCAGGGAGTTGTCAGCAGCTGTCCGCGCAGGTGAGCTTGCAAAATGTTGTCGCCGCCTGACTCACCCTCTTGGCCCACTCGCGACTCTGCAGCCACGGATAGCAGATTGCGTTGCACCATTGAGCCAACAGCTCCCATGTGAGTTATCTCACCAAACCTTTGCAGGCGTCCATCAGCAACTGCAGGACGTCGGTCCGGCTTTGTTTTGGACTCTTGGAGGCGCTTCTCCTTGAGAACTCGTCGCGCCTTCTCCAATGGTGTCTCCACCAAGTCAGTACCTTGCTGAGTTGCACGTTGTTCTTCTTCCGCAGCTTTCCGCTTCTCATGAAACAATCTACTGCCATGAGGTCTGCCTCTCCCCCGCCCCCTCAGTGGACAAGTTGGTGGGTGACTCTGCGAGGCCTGCGTGCGCGAAGACGAGATCACAGGGCCCCTGGATCCATGTGATCCACCTGCTTGCTCTGTGGCAGGTGGCTGGGCATCAGCCATCTGTGCATCATCATCATCATCAGCCACTTCCTCGTCCAACGCATCTAGCCATCCAGACATGCGACGCAAGTTGGCCGGTGGCCACAACTAGGCTGCAAACTTAGTGACTTGGTGACACGGTGGCCCCAGGTTAATCAATGCAGTGAGGCATGCGCCTGCACCAAGCTGGCACAACATCATGAAATGAATACCCTGCTGATGGGATTCATGTCCATGACAACCATGACTATGAGTGTGACGTTTAGAGCTCTTGAGCAGCTTCTGCGTGTGTTGCTGTCAGTGTGTGCCGGGGCACTGAAAGCATTTGCTGCCCTCATCCACCCTGCTGCTATGCTGGAATCAAAGCATTCTGGCTTGAAACATGACATATCATTACTAGGGAGTTACTAGAGTAAGCACACATTGGCTCAAAAAAGCACACGGAGCAGCAACACTACTATCACAGGGTAGGACTGTGACTAGTAGGACTCATCATGGCGGATATGAAGGTTTCCCGTGGATGCGCTTGCCTTCCCGGAAGCAGCAACTGTCACTTGTGACCCTCATTTGCTGCACCTGGTCTGCTAGCTAGCAGAAAGCTTCCTAGTTGCTCCAAGCCCAAGTTGATGTCAATGTAACTCCCTGGATACAACACCATATGTAATGTAGCTGCCTATGGCCTATGGTTTCCCCGAAACACAACCAGTATGCCGTGCGCTGTCAACTCTGGCTGCTAGCTGCTAGCTGGCTGCTGCACCTACAATACAAGGGTGAGTCTAGAGTCTAGAGAAATGTGCACAGCCGCACTCTGACACGCAAGGGTTGGAGTCTTATATAACACTGTTCCCCCCACGAAACCTGGTCATGTGGCCTTGCCTGAGGTGAGTTCTTTGTTTTCACAAAAGAAATAATGATGTGGTCACTCTGAAGCTTGTGGCTGAAGCTTAGGGCTTAGGGCTGAAAGCTGTGACGTTGGGTCAGGGCTGTTTGGATGTAGGATTGTGTACGAGCTCAAGTTTGGGTCTAAGGCTTCTAAGGGAGCATACTTCCAGGTTGGGTCAGGGTCAGGGTCAGGGTACTTGGGGACTTGGGGTGCTTCAAATCTTAAAATTGTGGCTTTGTGAGTGACAAGACTGACAAGAAAGCCCCATCCCTCAAGCAATCAGTTCGTTACCGCCCTACTTTCCTCAAAGGTCAGACATGCGTCCCATGAAATAATTGCGCCCCCACTATTACCTGTTACCTGTTACAACCCCTAACCAGCCCTATCTCCTAGCGGCCAGGAACTACTCAACTCCTATGTGGTGGTGGCCAAGTAGTTGCAAGTCCCAAACTGTCCCAAAATCCAACTGGTTCTGAAAATGTACAAGGAAACACAAATCCCACCCCACCCAACTATGCAGTCTATAATCCTGCCCTAACACTAAGCCTACGCCCCAAACCCTGGTGGAAGCAAGCCTGGGTCGTGAGATCTGGAGGAAGATCCGTGCGTCCAGGTGCCACTTCACGAAGTAGTAGCCCCCGCGGGTCCACTTGCAGGTAGCCAACGTAGCCAGAAGCCTGCAATTTTTCTACATCATAGTAGCAGGGGAACATTTGGGGTTTTAAGGTAACCATATTTACTATCGGATCGCCATTGTCCATGGTTGCTTGCTGGGCAATTGTGTACTGAGGACCACAAGCAAGTAGTGTTGTTATTAGTAGCTCATAGCAGTTTCAGTACATATTGAAAACAGTACATTGTACATCCACCTCTCAGGACAGTGAATGTAGGGACAAAGAGTTGCTGTTGCAGACCCCCCACGATCCCCGAGTATGGCCCCTGCTGCTGATGATGATGATGCTTCTGAGAGAAGTAAGTTGTGGTTTGGACCTTGTACTGCAAAGTAAGTTAGAAAGCCATCTAGGATTCTATAGGATTCTAGGTGAGGAGTCTAGGACCGTAGGATCTCAGCATGTTGCTTGGAAACTAGGCTGGGCCCTTGGGTTGTTGTCTGCATCAATAATTAGTCATTAGTCATTACTGAGTATCGGGCTTCATTCTACATTCTAGAAAGCATGCGCACGTCGCGTGTCCTTCTTAGCCAGGACTTATCTGTATCCAGTTTGGGTGGGATTCGGGCTCGGGCTTCGGGTGTTTCGGGAACCCCTCAAAAACAAAAAATGGGATCTGGCACAAAACCCTGAACTCCTTCAGAGCACCTGGCGCCTGGGCACTAGCAGAAATGCTGGAGCTAGCAGCTAAGCTAAGTGCAGCCCGTTAGCTTGGACTCTTGGACGTTGCGTAGACTCTTAGACATACCTCCACCCCAGTCCCGCCCACCCACCAGCCTGTCCATTGGACTCTCAGTGGTGCCGACTTCAAAGGGCATTGTGAATCCCTTGACTTGTTCCAGTATGGCTACGCGTGGCTCGTACAGGCTGTACATAGACACTACTGACTTCATTGTCGTGAGGAAATCGGGGTGGCACTTGACTCCATCGTGGCTGAAGCGTTTTGCACGCTGTAGCGAGAAAGGGTCGCAAGGGCTACCTGTTATCATGAGGTCGATGTTGCTTCTGTCCGACCTAGACACACAAGTGGCTTCACAGTTGTGAAGGCTGCAAGCACCTTCCTTCAGCTGATCCTCGAGCTTGCAAAAGACATGCTGGAACTTCCCAGGGTAGTTCTGCAAGAAGAACTTGCGGTACTCGGCATTCTGCTCTGAAGCCGAAACCACAATGAACGGCACATCCAATGCCTGAACACAGGCACTGATTCTAGATTGCAATTCCAGCTGCAGCACCACAGAATGTTCCACCACCCCCAATACACCCAAGCTACAGTGTACAGCGCAGCATTGCCCCTGCCTGTAGCACAGCTGCCTCTGCAGAGCATCCAGTACAGCCAGACACGACTCTCAGCTTGGTGCCGTGTGCCATCACCTGAAAGGGCTGGCTGCGCAACGAGCGCGCTGCCATCAAGATCTTCTGGACCCACCACAAGGCCAAGCCAGCCCTTGGAGCTTCGATCAATGAAGAGTTGTCCTGCCCAGTGCGTGTGGAAGCGCTGGCTCCACAGCCACCTGGTGCATCTGCGGACTCATCATCAGTTTCTGATCGGCTATCCAGTGCTTCAGCGACCTGCTGGTCGGTGCTCTGGCTGAGCTCACACTCTTCCTCAAAGGCCTCTCCCCAGCCCATTGCAGGTCACCACGGCAAACGTGGCCAAAACTGAGGTCTACGCCTACGCACCCCTAGCCTTAGCCCCTAGCAGTAGCAGGTCCTAGCCCTCGGCTGGTAATCATGCATGTACATACGCCCAAGACAATGTAAGTAGCTGTGGCTCATTCCATAACCAGTTCCATGGTTGAAGCACATGATCAATGGGTCGAGTTACAGGTACAGGCACTAGCCTGCAGCCAGGGGTGTCAGCTGTGGGCAAAGTTTGGACACATGCAACACTGAGCTCTAGCACTTTGCCAGGACAAGGACTTTCCAGGCACTGCAACTGAGTTAGTTAGGAAGCAACCAACTCATGTGGTGAGGATATTGACAGTCATGATGGTTTTGCAGGTAGCAGGTAGCGGCGCTTGCGACGAATTGGAAATAGGTGGAGTGGTGGTGGATTGCGCAGCGGCGGCGGTCGTGGTGAATTAGATAACGGCGGCGCTGCTGTGGGCAGCGATTGGTGGTCACGGCGGTGGTGTATCGGTGGTGATGGCCGTGATGGCGCTTGCAGCGGGTGATTGTGGTGGTGTGGCAGTGGTCATGGTGGTCGTGGTCTTGGTGGTGGTGCGGCGGTAGCGCCAGCTCCTGTCTCTTGGCCTCTCATGCGAAGCAGCCAATATTCCTATATGCTATAAGACATCCCAGGAATAGAACAAAACCAACGCTCAGGCACGCAACAAGCACATGCAGGCAACAGACAAAGCTCCAGCAACAAGAAAGAGGTATGGCATCTTGCAACACAAGGATACACGGCTTACACCAAAGCAGAAAGGCAGCAGGAGCACAAGGAAATACGAATTACCCAAGACATGCAAGCAAGCAACACGAAAAAAATACAAGCAAAAAACAAACGCAAAAAAAATGCAAACCAACAACGCAAAAAATGCAAGCAAAAAACAAATGCAAAAAAAATGCAAACCAACAACGCAAAAAAATGCAAGCAAAAAACAAATGCAAAAAAAATGCAAACCAACAACGCAAAAAAATGCAAGCAAAATGCAAAATTAATTATTCCGCTGATGTATAGTGTGTAACCGCCAAGATCTCATAATAGTAATCTAGCAAACTCATGGGCTTAGGGAGGCCAATATGAGGAAGAAGGCACCCAAAGAGGAAACACACCAAACAATACAACACCAAACCCTGAATCATACTAGCCCACACAGAACCCTAAGCCCTAACCCCTAAACTCTTAAACCCCTAAACCCCTAAAACCCTAAAACCCTAAACCCTAACCCCTAAAACCCTAAAAACCCTAAAACGTGTTCAAACAAGCCAAGGTGTCCAGCGAGATGGATCCTTGGCCACCTAGGACAGGGTAGTTTAGGATAATTTCAATTCCCAATTTAAGGACATCTTGGTACTATTCCCTTAGGGCTGTAGAGTTTAAGGGTTTAGAGCTTTAGGGCTTTAGAGCTTTAGGGTTTCAGGGTCTAGAGCTTTAGGGTTTTTAGGGTTTAGGCGGGTTTTAGGGTTTAGGCTTGGGTCAGGTCGCTTTCAGTTGGCCAGCCTAGGAGAAGCCCCATGGCATCCTTCAGAATTTGCATCTGCTTGAACTCCTAAGTGCCACGATTTAGGGTTTAGGGTTTAGGGTTCTGGGGTTTAGGGGAATAGGGTTTAGGGTTTAGGAGCTAGGGTCTCAGGGTTGAGGACTTGGGCTTTAGAGCAGATTCTGGAGTTTTGGGGCTAGGGGGTTCAGGGTCTAGGACTTCCTAAACCCCCCAAAAGTATGTAGAACACTTGCCTTTATGGTTGTTTGTAAGGGTTTAGGTCTATTATTTCTCATACTTTTGGGGTTTAGGTTGGGCTTCCCGAGCAGATTCTAGCGGCTTCGGGGCTTAGGCTTAGGGATTCAGGGTGTTAGGGTTTTGGGAGTTAAGATGTGGACTCGGGCCTAAATCCCCAAATGCTGAACCTTGCACATCTGTCCTTTGAGCTTCAAGGTCATTGTAACCCAGTTGCGTCTGTATGATAAAAATGATCCTGGGATGAAAAGTACCAACTTGAACCACCCTGAACCTACAAAAGAAGGATTTGGATGTAGCTTTCCACACTTGCGGTTGTAACTTGTAACCCAGCACGGGCTCCGGTACTGCGCCCACCCAGTAACTGGTAGACGATACTAACAATAGCAAATCACAATGTAATAAATGGATAGAGCATCTAATAATAGAATAAGCTGCTATTCCAGGCTGCTACAGGATGTGGTCAGTTCCCAATGCAGACCCAAACAAACTAAAGACTGCTCCGGGCGTGAGCCCCTACAGGACCTGGATCAGAGTCGCGCTCTAGTAGTAGGTTTAGGGAGTAGGTGGGTTTAGAAGCCGAAAGGAGCCATAAAAGCCCGAGTCTCCCTTGAAACCCTAAACCCTAAACCCTATAGTATCCCTTGAAAGGGGCGTACATCAATTTCCATGGTTGCTTGGGGGAGGATACCCTGGAGATTCGGGTTTAGGGTTTAGGGTTTAGTAGGTACGATTTAAAGACTTTAGGGCCAAATGCGGGTGCCATTTGTCAACTTAGATGCCTACGGTAGGAATACAAATTAGGAGCTTGAATTCAGAGAGGTGGTGCAACAACAGATTCAGGATTTCACTCATCCATACAACCTGAGCCCCAAGGTCCCACGTATGGTTCAGGGTTTAATGCCTGGGATGTATGGTTTAGGATTTAGGGTCTAGGATTCAGGGCTTAGGGCTTCAGGTCTACGAATCAAAAAGGCTTTTGGGGCTTTGATTCTAGAATTGAAAGTTTAGGGTACTACAGAAGAGCCCAGAGTCAGGGTCAGGGTGTTGCTTGGCAACCCACTGGTGCGAGATAAAGCCCGCATTCCCCAGGCTGTCATCGAAGACCACGATATCACCCCTAGCCTGCACAGCATAGTACCGAGTATAAGAGCTACACGATTTCACAGAACCCTTTTTCGCTAGCCCAGAACAGTTGAGGGTGTGTGAAGGGGACACTTGTTCAGAAGGATCATGCTTCTTCTCGAATTCTTTGTAGGCGCAATAATACTAGCGATCATGATAACAGTGCTAGCTGTAGTTCGGCGACCTGCAATAGTGTAATAGCGGCAGAAGCAGCAGTAATACAACCAATATGAACACTAGCCATAATGTGGCCGTGCAAATATAACAACAGGAGCAAACCCAAAGTCAGTAAACTCATAGCCATTTCATGTTCTATGTTCTTTTCCGTTTGATTCTACATTACTGGGATAATCGCCACAAACCCTAAACCCTAGATATCCCAAGATATTCCTATATCCCACCCATGTAACCCCTAGAAATACAAATAGGAGCAAGATTACAATACTACTCAGAATATTAAAAAAGAAACATACTAGTGAGGTCCCTGTGCACAGCTGCTGCTGCTGGGGCTGCTGCTGCCGGGGCTGCTGCTGCTGCTGCTGCTGCCGAGACTGCTGCTGCTGCAGCTGCTGTTGCTGCTGCTCCTAGGGCTGCTGCCGCCGGCATGGTGATCTTCCTTCTCCTCGTCCTCGTTGGTGTTGTCACCATCGTGGTAATGCCGCAGCAGCAGCAGCAGCAGCAGCAATGATGCAGTGCAGCAGTCAGCAGCACTTGCAGTTGTACAAACAGCAGGGAAAGGAGAAGAAGGGATCTTCAAAGACGTGGCAGCACTAGTTGTGTCCCTAGCATCTCAAACAGCAGCAAGTGTAGGCAGAGTGGTGGGGTTCGTAGCTGTGACCGCTACAGAAAGAGCTACGCTTACAGTCGCGAACAAACGATGCGAGCCATCATCACCATCACAAATGCACTGAAACTTCGCAAAGATAGGTGGATGACTACAGTTTTCTATCTGCCACGGGTTGATCTGACATCCAAACCCTGCAAACATTATCATACAACACCCTACAGACAAAGCGCCTATACAAGAAAATCAAATATCTTTCAACAGCTTCCAGGACCCAAAGGGCATAATGCTGCGTGTGGGAAAAGAGAGTCAATGTGGTTTGGGGTTTATAGTGTTCAAGGTTTCACACTCCCATAGTTCGTCTGGTTTGGCTTTAGGGAGGCCAAATCGATGGACGCCACCAAGTCGCGCATTTTGCCCGCAGACTGAAGAGTGTATGAAATTCGTGTTCTTTCTACAGTGTAGGCGGGCCTCAAATTACTACAGTCCCTGCTATAGGGACTCCCATGCCCTACGCCATAAAACCTGAATCTTACGCCTAAACCCTAAATATTTCTGGAAGGCCAATATTCGCAAACCTTTGCCTTCAGCTCCTCATGGGTGTCGATCTTGGTCATTGCCAGCAGTCTGTCAGCCGAAACCGTGTACATCGGGAACAGCATGGGAGCATCCTTTCAGAAGTCAAATGAGTAGCCAATGTTTGGGTTACTGAAGAAAGTTGGACTACATTATTGGTAACACGTATTGGTAACACGTACTATTAGGAATCCCTGAAACAGAGATGCCAAACCAGAAACCCAAACCCCTAATCCTCTACATTGTCAAACACTTGACATACCCCCTGAACTTACCAGGTCATTGTCCATTTCTATGCCATTGCAATTTCCAGTTGATATCCAGTACAAGCCTCTAAACTCCAAACCCTAAACTCCTAGGGACTCTCAGG